AGCTCAACAGGCTTTTATTAAAGAATGAATCTGGCCTTTTAGTTCAGTCAGTGACATATTAAAGATAACACTTGAAAGCAAAACGTTTGCAGTTCAATAAAGTAATTCCTTTAGACGAAGTGTCCATGCTTTCAAGTACTCCCTGAACTTCAGTGCTTTACAACAGAAGTGCCTGTTTGATTCATTTAGGAATTGCTAAGGATAGAATGACCACTGGAAATCCACTATGGTGAATAAACATATTTACACATAGAAATATCTGTGACAAAATAAAGAATCCCTGTTCTTTGTATTGAAACCTGACTATAAATTTAAGAATAGACTTGAAACCTTCTCAGACACCTCTCATCAGCCTATTTAGGCTGGTGAATACAGGCTGAGATGGTGTTTTGTGTGAAGCTTGAGTATATCATTAGCAAAAAGCATATTCAATGTTGACTCGCTTCTCTAGCAAATTTGTCACCCATTAGGGGTGAGAAAGAGAAAAGGAAACTGGACCCAGAGAAATTATTATCATGCATCTTTCAAACACGGGGTTTAGTAAATCACCAAAGTGTTGATGTCTGAGAAAGTGGCACACTCAGTCTTTCTTCCTTCAGCATCAATATAGGTTTATATCAACACTATGAAGAATGATATGATTAATTATGACTAACTTTCCTCTTCATTACAGAGAGAGAGAGAGAGAGAGAGAGAGATGCCTAAAAAGAAAACAAGGTCAGGAACCTTTTAATTTGTGTATAACCTGTATAGCCAAAAATACTTTTGCTTCTTCAAAGTGCCTGTATTTTAGACTTACAGTTGAATATTATAATCAAGGAAACTGTCTTTGGTATGACTTACTGTACACCATATTATCATGTGAAGTTGTCTGCAAGATTGAATTCTTCAGTAATTAGCATTTGTTTACTTGTGCCATGGATTTTTGGCTTTTCCCTTGAAGCTGTTTATCAATGAAAACTCTTAATGCATTATAATTAATACAATCACACTTTTCCAGGAGTGGCTGCTAATTTGAAACAGTACATGAAATATGAAACATTAAACTTTCTCACAAATGCTTTTTTTTCCTCAAGATGTCCAATTATTAATTTCTCTATGCAAAGGTGTCATTTGTAGGTGTCTTGTCATTTTTTTGGCCACTGTAACAACGGAGGAATTAAAGACAAACACTGACACTTCTTCTCCCTTCAGGGAAATAGAATTCTTTTTCTTTGTAAAATGAAGGCTTTTTTATGTTTACATGGGACCAATACTGTCAAGAGCTTGACGCATCGTCTTTGCGTTCAATAAAATAATTTTATTTATAGAAATACTTGGAGACCATGCTGTACCTGTCTGAGCTGGGGATTCTCTCATAACATAAAGGGAAAGTCAACCTTTTTATCATGTCCTTCTTATCCAGTACGTTAGCATTTCCCACCTCATCACTCTTTCAAAACCCAATTATTTTATTGCAAAGGGCTTGAGGAAGGAGCTCTGAAGATGACTGGATCTGAAAGTGATACTTGTGGTTTCTTAGGTCTCCTGTCTATAGGATGTGGGAGCACAACATAGCATCTCTGCTGCCAGGGCCACATTTGGCATTCTCACTGACAGTACAGTAAAAACATTCAGGGTTTAACATATTTTTGAATACTTTAAAAAATGTTTTAAATATATGTTTAAGTACAATACAGCACAATACAAATGAACACTTCCTATGGAAATGATCATGTGTTCCTGAGATACAGGTATACTAGAAGGGAAATTGTATATTACTGTGCATTCTTAGATTTTTTCAATTTAGCAGATCCAAAGAGTCAGCAAAATACTTACATTTGTTTAGATCAACAACTAACAATAAATTAAAAACCTAGCAGCTGGCATTTTACATGTTTGTTGTTTAAGACACCCAGGAGTATCTCATTATTAGAAAGTGATGAACCAGCACTGTCTTACATAGTACCAACCTTGAAGACTGTTCAGTTATATGTATCTTGTTTATTAACTAACTGGGCAGAACTGATGTCAGTTTAGGTATTTTACAGTGACAACTACAGCAACATGTGTTTTTCCTATTATTGCTTTACCATAGTAAATAACATCTTCCCTGCTTAATCATAGCCTTTCTAAGTCCCCTATACATTCAGCTCTATTTTGTTAACAGTTTAGATCAATACCAGTAGAATAAACTCATTAAAGTACAGATACAAAACCACAGTGAACTTTGTTTTCTTAAAACAACTGATGGTGAAGAATGCATTAAGAAATGAATTTACAGCCCACTGAAGTTTTCAAGATTTCAGAGATGTTCCTGTTCTGCCAGAACTCCCAACACTGTGAAACTGTTCCATGAAAACAACAGACTAAAAGTCTCCACCAGGACATGAACTGCTCAAGGGACAGAGCAACTGCCCTCTTTGATCAGGCTAAGGAGCTGGCTCACTATTAGGTGTCTGATGGCAGTGAGGCATAGCATTTACAGAGCCATCCTTCCTGTATTATTCCCTTATGCTTCTGACAACCAGAAGCTTAGGAGTTCATAAAAAAGAAAGCCAAATTTGGCACGCTTGCATCTCAGGTAGTTCTCCATACCAACAAGATCTTTATTACCTTCACAAGTCCTTCCTTGCGTATGGTTTTGACTAAAAATCACAAGCTGACATATGAAATGTTCCAAATTAAAGTTTCTTAAAACTGCATAGAATTTCAGTCTTGAAAAAAAATCAGTATCCTTCTAGGAAAAACTTTTGTATCAGAAAAATGCCAGAACCTCCGTCAAGGAATTTGATAAAAGAATCTGAATGAGACCTAGGAAAGCTTGCTATCCACAAAGAGCAATGTGGGCATAAGCAGGAAAAATACCAATGTAAGATAAAACATAGCCTGATGAGAGTGGTATAAATACAGCAAGATACTGATTTAGGAGTATTCAAGAAGTGCACTTTGATCCACGCTTCTACCTGCTGAAATAAGTAATGACTGGTACATTCTCCATTAGGACTCGCTGTACTAATATTAACATTTTCTTGAACTTCTATTATTTTTACTGTGCCAATACTACCTATTGCACATAACGTCTCCCATCATCAAAGAGTTTTGTGACATTAACAACTAGATCCGCAGAACAAACTCCTTGAGTTATTCTAGATGGTTTGACAAGGCAGAACAGGGATAGCTGGCATCCTCTGTTGAGCCTTTAAGAGATGGCATTGTCTAGGGGAAAAAAGATGCTTTTGTAATTGGTATAATTCATACGATGGAAAGGTCTTTGTATGAGCTATAGGAATTTGTCAAGGATGGCACTGCCTGGCATCTCTGTAGCACTACATACCGAGGTCTTGTAGAGACCTGGGCCACAGACCTGCCTGTCACTTTATCCATATCATCAGCCCTGATAAAGGTGAAGAAAAAGGTCTTTGCAAAAAAGGCCTTTGGTGCACAGGAGGGCTGGAACCACAGTGATGACCTCTCCCAGCTAACCAAGGGCCTTGTGAACCCAAGGCACTACAGAAGTCTGACTTTGGGGAATGCCAACCAACCTGCTCCGTAACCACTATGTCCTGTCAGAGACTCAGATTTGGTGCCTGTGGGAGGAGCAAAATATTAAAGCCCTCAAAAGCCACCTGAATGACATATTATAGGACACAATAACAAAGTAATATATCAAAATATATAGCAATTAGGTCTCAGCCACAACTACCAATTACACTGATGAACACTAAGGAAGCACTGGAGTCTTTTCAGAAAAAAGCTCTGCAAATAGCTCTTTTTTCTTGTTCAGTATCTGGATTAAAAAATGAAACCAAAACATTTCACATCAATTCAAAGTAAAAGTTTTGAGAATTTTGGGGCAGAGGCAAAATAATTATTTCAGTCTAAGGAAAAATAATTGAGTTATTCTCTTTTGGGCAATTTCTAGTAACAGGAAGCAAGTCCTTTATTCACAGAGTAAGGAGCATGTTGTTTCTTTTTCAGGGCTAATGCTCACCCACTCACAGAATCCCCTGAGAGTCTTACACTGCATTGTTCAAAGTTCTTGTTATTTAGTTGCTGTAACAAAGCCACGTTATGGCTGGGTTCTTAGAGAGGGAAGAGCTTAGGGATCTTTTCTGCAAGTAAGACAGTCAGAGTTTATTTGGCTGAATTTGGGACTGAAAAGGATGTACAAGTTAATAAAGTATGCAAGCATTTTCTTACTACCCCAAAGAGAAATGTGTTTTGACATGATACCTCTGTTTGGCCCCATTTTCTGGGTTTACAGTATTAGTGCAATGAAAGATCTTCTGGCTAGCAAAATCACTAACCTGAATGAAAACACTGAATCAGATTTTAAGTATTGCTGCAGTCTCTGTCTGCAAAGGAGAACCTTTTTTGTTCGGAGTCAGTTCCTTATATTGGTGACATACTGCTCTAATACAGATCCCAAAGACACTTCTCTTTTGTCCTCCATCGCCTATTAGATATTTTAACATGTACTGTGTTAAAAATTAGTACACACCAATCAAGAAGCAGGGCGGATGGTGTTACCCTTCTGAAAAGCGTAGAGTAAAGGCAACTTTATTTTCAATACAGCTTTAAGGTCTTCTGAACAGACACCTGGTTTGCTACTCCTTCTGGTTTAGTTTAACACAGTAATTATTCTGCTATTCAGAATTTTATTCTGAATTTTACTAATTCAAGGCCAGATGACAGAATTACAGTATATTAGTATTATTCATACTGAAAGTATCATGCCCAACAACCCTCCCGTTAAGCCACTAGTTTTGGAGGCTAAAATGATCTTCATAGCCAGATTCCAAATCCTTTCTGTCAAGCATTGCACTGATCCACAATTGCTAATGGTATGTACTCATCTTTTATATGGCTGGTGAAGTCTGGCTATCCAGGAACAGAGCTAAATGAATGCTAAAGCTGACATGAGGTGGGCAAACAAATAAAGTAATGAGAATTAAACACGTTTTTTTTTCCAAGAACTGAGACAGCAATAAAATCCAGTGTAAAATATAATTTTGTACCTATCACATGACTCTGACATGTAGTCCTTGTCATGGTGTCCTCCTCTTCTTCTTGCAGGTTTTCTGTGACTACTTTAGCCTGTACATAGTACAACAACAAAAGTGAAGAACATCTGTGACTCTGTTTATGTTGCTTCATGATCACTACAGAATATCTTTTCAGAAATAAACCAGAGTGAGGTTACAGGGCAGCTAAGAATGGAATTATACAGCCTGTCTCATTCTATGAACGATATCTGAGGATAACAACTTTAACTTCATTCAAAGTCACAATATACAGCAGTGAAAAAATACCCTTGGAAGATGCACTTCCTCAAAAGAAAAAGTCTTTTTCTGCATTAAAAAAAAAAAAAAAAGCAGCTCAGGTCTCCTGACCTCTTATTTGTTTCTCTCTAGAAATACCATGTTCCAGATTCTATGCTAAAAAAAAATGTGAACTTAATATGTGATGTTGTGGTATTGCTCTAGTTCAGTTTGCAAAAACTGAACTTTGGCATTTTTGCTTCCACCTCTGTTTAAAAGCATTTATTAACTAAACAGAGAAAAACTTAATTTAAGAATGCAGTGCACACTAAGAGCCTGTATGAGTTATTCAAATCCACTAGTTATTCTATTTTTCAGATGAAGGCATATTGTTGCTCTGTTCTTCTGCACTTCTATTTCCCAAGTGTATATATAATCTGAGTATCCGCCTAGCATACTGTGAAAACTTCCACCATAACATGACATCAGTGTCCATAACTCAGATCCAGGGACATATTTTTCTGCCATGACATATAAATCAAATAGGAATAAAGATACTTTCAGGGTGATAAGAGGAGGAAAGCCAGCATGGCAGAAAAAATCACTTTCAATATCTCAGAGATCTTAAATTATTTGTTAATCACTCTCTGCTGTTTTAAACTACTTGCAGCACATTCACAATACCATTAAATATGTTCTGTAATCTAAACCAGGAGAATTTATCATCATTTGCATGAGATATGTTTGACCACAGTATGTATTCTGCTTGTCTGGCTTACAAAAGTAGCCCTATTGACCTCTTGTGACTAGCCTCAGTAAGACATGAAAGACTTGTTCTCTGTGTTTATAAAAGTGCATTTATAATCTCTTAATCCCAGAGATTTGATTACTTCTTTTTTCTTCTGAGATGAGTCTCTTCAGGCTATGGAAAATGAAGAGCAGAGTATGTGATCATTTGGCATTAAATAATGGGTAAGACAATTTCTCACATTTACAGACTGCATGGCGGTCTGTGGCGTGCTGCTGATGTGACATTTCACAATATTACGATAGATCTCTGGGTATTCCCCAAACACACAGAATGCAGACAGACAGTGCTATACAAAACTCCTGGTGTCTTGATTTTGGTGCCACACTTTCACCTCACAAAGTAAAGCCCATGGCTTTTCTAAATTACACTGGGCTGTAATAAAATCACAAAGATGAAATGAAGCAGTGCGGCACAAAAATGATTGTATCTCACCTTAAGCTCCAGCCAAGGACATGAAAAAGTGTTGGAGAATGTGGAATATCCTTGGTGTGGGCTAAAGGATTATGTATTTCTGTTGGCTGGCCTTTAGAGCAAAGTGCTTTTTTGATGAACACTAACGGGAAGTGTATCCCTCTGAAGGTGAATGCACAAGGCCGCCATTGGTGGAACATTGCTTTTTCCATAAATTCAGTGGCAGTCAAGCAATAACATTCTTTGCATGAACAGAAATCAGAGGCAATTGGTGCATATGTTATGGCATAATAGTGCCCCAAGTCTTTACCTGGCACATCATGAGAGAAGAGATTTAATCATAAAAAATTAAATAGGCTTGAAAGGAAAAACTTGGTAGAAAACTAATGTTAAAAAATGTTATGGTCAGGATTTAAAGAAGGAGTATATATATGACATGCAGCTTTGAAATACAGCAGCTTCCGCACTGAACCCATATGACTGTATGCACTTTGCATTGTTCAAAAAAGAAAAGAAATCTTCTTAGTTTAGGGCTTTTCAAAAGATTGATGCTGTTTTCTCCAAAAGCATTCATTTTGTCCTTTTACAAGTAAAAAAATGTACAACAGGCCATTCTACCACATGCGACTGTTTTCAGTCACAGCTATCTCCCGGTCCTTTGCAATCTGCTTCAAAGTAAGCAGACACCAAAGAATAACTGGAAATGATAGTAATAAGATGCATGAACTCTGAATTTAAAGACTTTCCATTGTTTTTCTTGTAGAAGTTTGGAGGACAAGATGAAATATCACATACTGGGGAATCTTAAGCTATTTCTCTTTCATAAATTAGCATTAAGAAGTGTAAGCACGTTTTTAATCTTATTATTCTAGATGTCCTCAGAGTTTTGGTACTAGATATTTCTTCCAGGAATTAACTGTCACAAAAAACACAATATGAAACTCAAAAAGATGAAGCTTATAATGTAACTTAATCTTCAAAAACAACACAAAAAATACTTTGATTCCCAGTGAACAAAAGAGCGTATGGTATAGGACAGGTAATGCCTTTTCCCCATGACTAACATGTCCTTAAAAACTAAACAGCATAATTAGCATTTCTCCATTATTTATGTATATTAAGGACAATCCTTGTAGTTCCCTGATAAAATGAAGTGTGTTTCTTGAAGATATAGTTCAAGTCATAAATGACTATTATTGCTGCATTTAGAAAGACTTCACAAAATGACAGACAAAAAGCGCAGCAAATTATTGCAGCATTAGAAAATAATAAGTTAGAAAGAATACGTAGAAGCCATGTGTAGAGTTTTTTGTACTTCTGTACAGTGAAGATATAGCCCAAGCTGTCAGGACCATATTAAATGGGGCATAGTTAAACTGAGTGGCTCTGATAAGGGGCTCTGCCTTGCTATCAAAGTTCTAGATCAGTTGGATTGAATTTCCTGCATATTGCACATTTCCAGACTTTCATTCTCTCTCTTTCCTTTCAGTGACACTACAAGGACAGCCTTAGATATGCTTATAATTTGTGGTTTTATAATGCAGGAGACATCCACATTTTCAAAGAAGAGATGATACCACGGGAGTCAGGAGGAAAAAGTTTTCAAACACATTCATTCTGCATATGTTCTAAAAGTTTTAAAAAATGACCTTGCAGATGTTCTTAGGAAAGACATCTGCATTATAGTAAAAAACCAAACTTGCCTGAAGTTGAAACTGTGTGTGGGATACTTTAAGCATCCTAAACAACAGTACTAAGCTAAGAGTTTTTCAGTTCCCATTATGAAGCTTTTTGAAATGTGCTTTACTCTCGAAACACATCCCAAAATTTGTATTTCAAATTCTCTCAGATGAAATAGTTGCATGTGCTGTACCTCAGTAACTCAGTTTTATCAGAACAACAAAAGTAATAGCTTCAACTTCATGTTCAGTATTATATTTGGCACAAGTTTTCAGACTATTTTGTGAAAAATGTGATGATTGTTAATAATTATAATAATATGGTCAAGACAGGTATCAGAAATGAGAAAAGAATGCTCATCAAGTTAAAGCATCTCTGTTTTCCTGGTGCTTGGACTTTAAAACAATATGGGAAAGGCCCTTGCCAGGCAAGAAATTGCTCACTAAGTTCTAAGGTTAATTATTAGAAGCTTCACAAGGAAGGGAACCCATTCAGTCTGACTTATGCTACAATCCTAGACTCTGTGTGCACACTTCTCGATGCAGAAAAGTTAGCCACTCACATAACCTTTCAGTAACCAGAATCTAGCAGCTAACAGAAAATAAAATTATTTTTCTTCTAAATTACAACATTCCTACTCTTTGGGTAAATTAAAGCATCAGGTATAGTTAGTACCTTACTGAAGCATAAAACTAACTACAGGGCATTAACAGGGAGATTTTCCATGGTACAAAGAGAGACATGGGGTCAAATGTATGTTTTTGCTTTTGAAAGACTCCCTCTTAAGTGACAAATATTCCCAAATGTGGTCAAATACTTTGCCTTTTCACCATCAGCAGTGCACTTTTTAGGCTTAATGATTTCTATAATGTTCAGAGGAATGTTCAACACTGGCATGCAATTGTCAGGGAAAGGGGAAAAAATGAAAAAAAAAAAAAAGGAAAACGGTCCTATTATTTCACTCTACTACAGTATGATTATAGCATCATTGTGCATATATCTCCACTGGAATTGAATTGCCAGCAGAAGCAGTAGGATCTTCATGACTAGCTGTATAATCTGGCCTACAGTCAAGCTGCCAAATTTTGTATTAATTCACAATTCTCTAGCTACACAAAATCTTTCTATCATATATAAACAGTTATTATCTGTTTGTCTGTACTGGCTATAAGGAACACATCCAGAAGTTAAAAATAAGGTAATAATATCTTCATGTACTAAAGCACTTACCAGGGTCTTATTCTGCATTTCCATATCAGCTCTTGCATTGCTGTTTTTCTTGTGGTTTCCTTGAGAGCTGATAAAGTTGCCATGAAGAGAGGAGCCCTGGGAGCTGCCCTTCGACACACTCCTGTAGGAAACATTATTTGATCCACTTTCTGTCTGCTGAGCTGCTTTCTTATCAACTCTGCAGGTAGAGAGTGATTCCTCTGATAAATTACATTGCCCTTCTTCAATCACTCTACTTTTCCATTCCTTTAATGTTTAAAGTAACCTCTCTGTATCTTTCTGTCTCTAGACCTTTGAGTGATAAATGTTTCTAACTAGCCTTGATCAAATCTGTCACTTGCAATTTCAGGTAGTATATCAATTTAGTCTTTCACATATAATGATTTATATTATATTTGGGACTGCTGTGGGGCAAACGTGAAAATACAGTATAGCAATTGCTAAGTTCTTCTGTGACCGAAGGTTGTGGTAGCTAGAAATGTAATTAATTTTGACTAGTTACCAAGTATATGTTTGCTGGTTACAATACATGAAGATGGAATACATTAAAATATGTGTCTAATTATCCTCTATCTTTACACACCATCTGCCTAGATTCTTGATTTCTGGAATCATTTGAATTTCTATCAACTTGGATGTAGCTTTTAATTTCAAAGGCCATTGGTTTGTTAACAAAGTAACATGACCAAAATTGTCATCTCATTATTAATGTTTTTTCCTGTAGAGATTAAGGTCCTGATAGTGTACCTAATGATTGCTACTATGCATTCTTAGTCTAAAAGGAACATACATTGAACTTAGCATCTGAGCATCTGTAAAGTTACAGTGTACAACACATCCCAAATTGTGTTCCAGAGTTTTACCTGTTTAAAAGCTCTTTCATAAAACTGTCTTTTGGTGAGTACGTAGCAGTGGTGGAACCTTTGACTTGTTCACACTCAACCTCACCAGGCATGTCTTGTGAAGGTTTCATAAATTTGCTCTCCATGACATCAGCTAAAATGTCACCGTTGTCTGTTTTCCTGTTAATTTCATTTTCTATTTCACAGTGTTGTTCAGTTTTCTTTTTTTCTTTTCTTCTCTCTAATTTTGCCTGCTTAATTCCAAATCCTGAAACTTTTGCATCTTTTTTTTCTACCTTTGTTTTAGGAACATCAGTTTTCCTGCTACTCAGTGCTGGGAGCTTACTCTTTCGAAAGCCAAACCAACTAGCTATAGAGGGCCCAGTCTTTTGTTTAGTCTCTGCAGTGGGAGATTTGGTTTGTCCCTGACCCTTTTGCACATTTTCTTGGATGCATAACATGACTTTCTCCTCTATTGTAGGTTGTAGAGCTGGTGAACTCAAAACATCAGTAACCTTCTCAGAGGCTTCTGCTAACTTTAAAGACATTTGTTGTCTTCGTGACTTTGTTGCTTCCGGTTTATGAAGACACTTTAATCCATCTGAGCTTTGAAATGAAATTTGTTTGGAAGATACAGTAGCTGATGCTTCTAACTCCAATTCTGCTGGCAGAACACTTTTTTTACTTACAGATTCGTGTTTAAAACTTTCAGTGCTTTTCTCACTCTGGACAGATAGACTGCGTGCATCTTTCTGAGAAAATAGTTTGTTTCCATCACATTTTGAAGTGTTGTAAAACAAATCTACTTTTGAAGGTGATCTGAAGGGCAGTTTGCTTGGGCTTCCATGCTGGCTATTGCAACTACTCATATTTCCAAGAGAACCTTGTCTAGAGTAAGAATTTTCTGTGGTTTTAGTATATGTAAGAGTCTCTGGTGTCACTGCTGAACCAGGAATGGCCTTTATTTGAAGTCCTTCCATGGCTGAGTTCTGCCTTGTTAGAGAATTTCCTCTATCAGAAGTGTTTGTAATAATCTGAGTCCGTACTTTTCCAAGACCTTCTGTCACAGGGGCAGATGGCTTTTCCCCTGTATGAATGCTAAAACTCTGACTACGAGCTTTTGCTCCATTCATGCCCAGAGCTGGCTTCAAGTGCGACTTGCTGCTAGAAGAAACAGATCTCTTAACTAATTTGTTTTCTAATCCATCTACTCTGTCTACCACCAGGTTGCAGTTTTCATGTGAATGAGGTGATGCTGTATCCATACTAAATCCCACAGTAAAATTATTTTTTACTTCGGTATCAAACATAGAATCTTTTAATTCGGCATCCGCTGCGCCTCTAGTGGTTACACTTACAGATTCATGTTGCTTGTACTTACTTGAACTCACATTACTTTTGGAAGCTGCATTGATACTGTCTTTTTCCTGCTTCCCTGGTACAGTAGAGCTCTTTCGGAGAAGCTGGGGAGATTTGACAAATAATTTCAGTCCTACAGGGAGACGGGTTTTCATTCCTTTCTCATTAGAGTTTTGGGTAGCATGTGCAGTGTCACTATCATGTAACAGTGTTGACAACGGGGAATTGTTTACCTGAGATAGTGAAGGCTCACTTGTGCTTGTTGTATGAGATTGAGGAGTTGCTGCAGGAGTGTTTGGCATCTTTTGTGGCTGATCCACCCCATTGTCACTGGAAATATCTTTTTTGCTGGAATATGCATCTTGTGAAGAAGCTGTTTCCAATGTTGGACAGCCTACAGAAAAGGACCTGGCTGTTTGAAAATCTGTGTTGGAAAAGTCACGATTCCGGTGGAAACCCAGCTGATTAGTGTTTTTTGGGCAGACTTGCTTTGTGGAAACTTTGGAAAGTCCTTGGCGTGCACTATGGGGTTGCTGAGATATGCATTTATTTTGCATAATTGCTTCTGCATTTTCTTGAAGGTAAGATAACTCAATTTTGGCCCCAGAAGATACGCTTTTTGCTTGCATTTCATGACTAGATTGATTATGAAAGCCAGAGTTCACAGTTCCTTTTAACGGTGATGATTTCAGTATATTTTTTGCTGATTCACTGGGATCAGCTCCTCCTAACTTTACTGTTACAGGTGGTGAATGAGCATAATTAGGCCGAATCAACAGGGATGTTGACCTGCCAGGAGGAAGGGGTGGGGATGGTGATCGGCATTCTACAGGTGCTAAATCACAATGAAAGTCTCTGGTTGGAGGTTCTCCATAGTCACCAGGCTCTGTAAGGTGCTGAGGCAACAGTGGTGATGCTGGACTCTGACTCTTTGGATACTTTGACCTGTCGCCTCTGCCTGGACATTTCAAGCCAGGTAGGGGGTGGGCAGGAAGCTTTGGAACTTGGAAGTCAACTTTTGAGTCAAAATTATGAGGTGGACTTTGTGCCTTTTTGAATCTTGAAAGCTTTACAGGTGGCAGAGCAGGTGATTTTTCAAGGGTTGCAGGGCCCACTGATTGAGCTACAGGTGTCTCCTCGCTCACCATCATCGCAGTTTTTTGTGGAGAAAATTTACCTCTGCTGGGTATTTTAGTCAAGTTTGCCTTTTGATTGATTCCTGCATGCACAGTGGAGCTTGAATTCGCCTTGTATGATGCATCATACACTGGCTTCACCAGTTTTTGTCGTGGAGTATTTTGCAGTGTCACTTCTCCACAGCATGAAGGTTCACTGTGGGTTATGGAGGCAACTGTATTTTTATCCCCTGTACTATCCTCAGGTATCTTTTCCTCGGTTTCATCTTCAGGTCTTTCTAAAGCGGTATAGTTTCTAGCATTGGTTCCTGTCTCCAGATCAGTTATTCCCTGAGGTGTAAGTTCAGTATATTCTGCACTGGACCTAGTTTGTGGCTGGTTGATTGAAATTTCATTTCTTGTTACAGTGACAACTCCAGTTTGATGTGAGCTGAATTCAATAGGCTCACCATCCTCAGCATCAAATATTACGGTAATGCACTCTTCAGAAGAGGTCTTTTTTATAACCTTTTGTTGTTTAATGAAATTACATGTCTTTGGCCTAATGTCTGAGTGAGCAGGTATCTGTTTTGCCTCTCTGTTAGTAGATACAAACTGAGAATTCTCAGTCATTTTGAGCATGTCAGAGGTCTTTGTATACTTCTCAGTAAAAGGAGTTGATAATAAATCTGATGGACTTTTCTCATCACTGCTTTCTATATGCAATTCATCCAACACTTCATTGTCATCAGTATCTGAAAGCTGAAAATTAAGGTCCTTCCAGCCTATATTAGCATGGCTTTGATTTAACTGTAACTCAGGCAGCTTTGCTCTGCTGCACGATTTTACTTCTGCCTGAAATCCACTGACAAAACTAGTCAATTTTTCAGGTCTTTCCTTTGAATTAAAATATGAGCTTCTTTCTGGTACATGTTTCCTATTAGGATCCCAGTCAAAGAGACTGTCAGAAATGCTGTGAGTTAATTTGTTACAATAGGTCCTGCAGTCTTTGCTTGGTACTTCCTGCAGCAACAGTAAGGATGAAGGGTCATCATCTGCATCATCATGCGAATCTGAATCGTAAGAGAAAGTTTGGTTATGTTCAAGGCAAATACTTCCTATTTCCATTGGCTTACAATGAGTCTGTTCATTATGGCTGCCACATTTAACTCCAGGGGAATATATTCCTTCATTAGAGTTCATGCAATCTTTGTAACCCCATTTTGATATTACTGAAGGTGATTCAAGTAATACTTTTTGCTTCTGTAATTTCTTCAGCCCTTCTAAGATATGGTTTTCCTTGATACGAGTTGGAGGTAGATCATCTGCAGGACTTGAGAGGTTGCTTGGGAGCGAAGAACCAATGCTTATTCTTTTATCCCAGCTCACAGATGACTGTTAAAACAAAATAGAACTCACATATTACTCACAAGTGCTGTTAATAAAAAGTTACCATTTTAGTAAAAAGATTTAGAAGTGGCATAGGGCATTACATTTCATCCATTGCTATTAATAGCAATGTACTTTTTTAATAAAGGATTTCATAGTGGTGTGAAGGCTGCAGTGCACTTAAAACCTGTAGGAAGAACAATACAAATGGAAGGATTAAGATAAAGAAGAACAACTTGTGAAAGACAGACTAAATGTCAGAATAAATGAGGAAACTGTAAGCAAATTGGAGTGATAAACAACTTGTTAAAAAAAAATTAGAAAGGGGGAGAGTGAGAGGGAGGGAGACATTGGGGAAAGAACTTACTGAGTTTAGTCACAACTGTTTTAAATATAAAAGAGAGAAGAAAGTGAAAAAAATTCCGAAATAGGCAGCTTTTCTATTAATCTTGTTTCAGATTAACTTAAGATAATAAATGAAGAAAATGAAGTTGATTTACCCTTTTGCTGCAGGTCTTCCCATCATTCCAAGTGTAGGAGGAACCACTGGAATATTCACTGCAAGCACTTGAGAGGGAGAGTTCACTGCTACTGCAGCTGCTCCGGGGATATAGGTGGTTAGGACCTGTCATATTTAACTGACTCTGGCATTTCAAGACAGGTATACTAGATTTCACATTCTGCTGGCACTCCTAAAATATGAGAAGAAACAGAAATATATTATGGCTGGAAAAAGATCATCTAAATTCCCCCTGATTAAGAAGGACAAAGAAAAAGCAAGTAAGCTACTTACACCTCCCTATTATGCCATTAGCATCTAGTGAATTTAATACAGAGAACTAAATTAAAATTGCTAAAATTTTCATTTGTTGGGGGAAAAATCCACAATCCTCCATGTTTTCTTCTTTATTTGCTAACCAGTATTCTGCTCTTCTTTTGTTAAAGATTATTCTGAGTCTATTTGAATTATGCGTTGTAAATAAGCAGGGTGCTCCAGTAAGATACGGAAAACAAAGTTGTAAGAATACAAGTACATCTTGACAACTGCATTATAGCCCTACAATGTAACAGATGAGGCTGTACACCCTGGACAAGGTAAATTAATTTAGTATCCCAACCAGAATGTCCACTGAGAATGGAATCTCTCCATTACAGTCTAATTTTGGTTTCCTATCTAGTTCAAAGCTTTGTCTAAGAAACTCTCTGACGTAGGACAATCCATCTTTGTGTCGCTTGCAGACAGCTGAAGCCTCTTGCTTATGCAATTTATTGACACTTTATGGCTGCCTTTAGTACTTGTGTAGTTATCGCCCCTCTCCAAATGCAATTTCAGCTGACTGTGACTAAGTGCCAGCTTTGAGGAAGAGAGTAATGAAGAGCAGATAGCACTTTAGGTAAAATATTAAACCTCTGTAGGAGTATCTAGGATGCCTTTAATTTGTTTTCAAACTAATACTCTTGTGCCTAACAGTGTTAGAGCTACTTTAATGTTAAGTGCCTGCACCATTGTGTTACGCTATTCTCCAGTTTCCTTACAGAATCAAACATCTTTTTAATTACCAGGAACATGAGACAGAGTAACATGATTCTGTTTCATAAAACTTTGCTTTGGATTTCATTAAGGCAGAATAAAATTGTGCAAGCTCAAACAATATTTATTGATTTTTGTATGTAGATGTAAGCCAAATTAATTTTGCTCAGATGAAAATTTTACCTTTATATTCAGGAAGACAAAAGAAAACTAAAGTTATAGAATCCACAAAACAATTATCAAAACTGTATATGCAGTAGACACAGCTTCTTCATGCAAATCTCTGGAAAAATTCTCAGTTTGTAGGCACTTCTCATACACTAACATGTTTATTGGACTTCTGCTAATTTCTTCCATTTATTCCCCTATGTCCTCCCATTTATGACTACTAGGGTTGAACCTTTTTTCAGTTAAATGGGAGAGAGCGGAATTTTTACTGCTGAGGAGTTCATCAGTACAACTGCTCATTGCTCAACTGACATAATAATGTTCTGTTTTTGACAAACGTAACTACAGGGCAAATCATTATTCTCTGTCACAGGTGAAACCTATGAATGGGAAAATCATTTAGAGGTAGCAAGAGCACATTTCACCTCTGGGAGTTACTGGTACATGTCCTCCTAGGAAATCAAATGGATGCAGGAGGAATAGCCTTTAAATCCACTGGCTCTGGGAAGAATACATCTTTCGGCATCAGAGGCAGACTGATGCCTGTGGTTTTGGCTCTGAAACAGACTTTCTTGCTTTGTTGAGACAAATGACTCTTTATTTCTGACATTGTTGTTCCCGTGGGAGACCTTCTCTCATCAGCTTCCTCAGCTATGACGGCGTCATTCCCTGTAAGGTTGACTGTATAGAGGCCAATGGCAGCACCTGCTTGTTCTGGCTATTTCGTTGCCTTTCAGCTGTGGCATTGGGAAAACATGTCATGTCAAATTTCTGCCCTTTATACTAGGCTATGTCCCAGCCATCATAGTGTTTAAGGGAATGATGCCTGTAAAATCCGTTCCTATAAGAATCTCCTGTAGGAGAAAAGAGGAGATCACAGCACACTGACAAGTACTGCCTTCCCTTCCTGTCATCTTCAGCTAATCTGAGAGCCTTTCCGTCCCCTCCCTTTGTTTCCTTTGCACCTAAAGAGAGGAGAAAGGCATTTGGTCCTACAGTTTTAGCATGGGAAAAAATTGAGATATCTAAGCAAACCAAAAGAACAGTATATTACTGTAATGATCTTTATTGTTTAAGACATGAGAAAATGTGCAAAAAATATCATGCCATTACAGATTCTGAAGTAGGATATCTACCCAATTTCTAGATGCATTCAGATCACTAAAGAGAGAGTGGAATGTTCTGCAACTTACCTTTATTGTCTAAATTATCCAAGAAAGTACTTTGAATGATATATTTCTGATGCATTAATTAAATATACTTAACTTCCATATACAACTATTAACTGACATGGTGAAATTTTAAATTTTTGTAATCATGACTCTTAAGTCATTACCTTTAACAAAATTAGAGTAAAAAGTCCTGAACATAGTATTATAATTTAAATACATAATTTTTGCTAGAAATCACAGAAAATTGAAAGAATCAGACTATTAAAGACACAAAAATCTGTATTAGAAAAACCTAACCTGAAGGCTTAATTACATATCATGCAAAGGGTTGTTAGCATTTTTGTGAACATTTGAAACAATGCCTTTTCATTAAAGTATGTATTACAAAGGAGATTACATTTTTGTTGACACTACTATACTTCAAGATCAAAGGCACACACAGGTTCAATGTTCTGCTCTTGTCCTCTTTGTTTCCCTCTATCTTTATGTGACTTTTGTTTTTAAAGCTACTTTTTCTCTTTGACAACATGAAAGCCACACTGGCTAACGTTTTGCCAAATAAGCACACTGGCTAACCCCATCTGAAAAAAATATGCAGACCCTATGAATTTTTAAAAGTTCATACATAATATATCATAAAAGTAGGATGAATAATATGGTGTATGGGCTTTAATAAAAAGCGCCTTGACTATTTCTCAGAGATTCTGAGATGTAATCAATACCCAAAAAGGTTTCTTAGGGACACTGCTAAGATTTACGCTTTTTTGCACAGAGTGACACTATCTGCTTACTATATCAACTGAGGACACGATATTGAATTTCAGAGAACAGAAGTAAGAAGGAGTATTGTTATCTGACTCAACAGTGTTTCAATTCGGAGATCAGCTTTACAGCTCATCCCTGACATCAGACTTCAGAAGCTAAAAGGAGGGTTCCAAATGAGAGGTACAAGGACAGCACAAAAACTCACGTGAATCTGAGCATCAGCAGTTCGAGATTGCATCAGGCTTCTGTTTCGTTCTACTTCTGAAAGCAAATCCCCAGATGAGAGGTCTAAGATGCGTGAATGGAGTTTCTGGGGGAGCAGAAGGGAATGAGCAAAGCGTAAGCATTTGTCAAATATGCAGCAAATCAGCATTTTTAAAACTCCAAACTCTGCTGTTAAATCTCAAGGGAAATGAAGACCCTGAGGTAAAAGAGGATTTGTTCTAATTTGAAATGGTGCTATTTGTGATTACTTTGTGCAGGACTTCCTGTCTGCAGAACAGATCATTCTTCATCCAAAACAAACTCTACTTTTTCTTCTAGTCACTGTTTTGCAACTTATCATTATTTCACATGCAACAATGACAAATGAACACGAGTCACACTACTATCCATAGAGTTTGACAGGTTTCAGGAAAAAGCATAAAAATGAACTACAAAATTAACATTTATAAATCAATCAACATGTTAAAGTTGTTTTATTTACAAGCTGTTACACCTTGAGTGAATGATTGCAAAAGTGACCCTATTTTTAAACAGCATTGATCTGCTGAAGGCCTCCCTTGCACGCATTTTAACTCAAAGTCATTAATGTCATCTGCTAGGAACAATTAATATGAATAGAAAATAATTGCATCAGGGAACTAGGGACTCGGAGGATTTTGTGCATTAATATTCACATGCTGTTCGATTATATACGCAGTTCTTTTTTTTTTTTTTCAGTTTTGCTTGGAAGGATGGCTAAGCTTCTGCTTTTTCCTCAATATTCACCTGTATACTAATTACTAAGGCTTTCAGTGTGCATTAAGCCTGATTTGTTTTAATTGCAGTTTCAATAAAATCCATGATTTATGTGAATGCCTTGGCCAATGATTTCAAAAGAAGAAAGATCCGCAGTCTTGTCAGTCATTGGACCAACATATCATCTAACAGGCAGTATGGATGTGACTCACAGTTCACAAAAATCAATGAAAAAGGAATTTAAAAAAACAACAAAGGACTTTGGATCAGGCTCTTTTCATTTTTCCCATTAATTCTCCAGGCTCTCCAACCTGAGAGACCATGTCTACTCCCTCCTCAGCACTGAGGTGCTCAGCTTGGAGGCACTAACCATGCAGACCCTGTCAGGGCGCTTTGCCGGTGAAGGATGCAAACCGTGGAGACTTTTTGAGGCTGCGTGAGTGGCCCATCACCGTGTCCATCCAAAAAGCTTGGCCAAAGGAAAAAAAAACCTGTAACCACAGGTCACACAGTATCTTACACCCAGCTACTACCCAGCCTGCTCTCCTGGTACCCACTGCAGAAATACGTCTGCTAGGGAAGAAAGCAGGCAGCCATTCCTAAAGCCTGTTATCTGCATGCTGTGCTTCAGGCCTCTATTCCAGATGATCTAGCATTTTTTTTTTAAACTCCTAATTTGGGAGTAATTTATAAAGAGTTACATATTCATCCGGGTTTCTTCAGGAAGTACTATCTGTCACAGACAAATTATGGGAAATATTCTCAGCGATCAATGTTCTGTAAAACATATTTTGTCCAATATATTGTTGAATAGATTAAAATGCTACAAGCACCCAGTATCCAATATACTTTTCATTACAAATATTAAATACAACCCGGCTATGTGTTTTTTAACATCAGTGACGCCTATTGCCTAGTTATTCAGTGTGCACCTTTTAAAGTGCTATTATTAGAGTTACTGTCAGGTGTTCAAGACTTAAGAGCCAGGTAAAATGCCTTCACAGATTTACTGACTTAGCACACATGGTAATTTTGACAATAATTCCAACTGCATCATTGAACCACCAGAAAATTCCACTGTTTTCAGAAGCAGGAGTCACCAATGTTATGAACAAGTGGTGTACTTGCTCTTTGCAGAGGAATTATGCTCTCCAGTGAAACCAGTCTCCTGATTTTTGCTTCCGGAGATATTTGAGGGCAAGTTACTATAGTCAGATCTGTGCATTAGAGATGATGATTGGGGACGTCTGAGATGGATGAGCATTTATAATTGAACATTTATTTCCTGAGAAAAAAGTATCCTAGAAATAGTGCTACTGGAGTTTTACAGTTGTAAAACTGTCTTCCCATTTTTTCAGCAAGGCATTTCAAATACTTCATAATTTAAATGGGAACATATATGCATTTCAATAAGGAAACTAAATATACCTCAATAATGTCATCCAATGGAATTTAGCGTGCTGCTGTTACTGTGCGCATAAGAGCAGAGATCAGCCCAATAGGATCTAACACTTCTGAACAGGCAGAAAACAGAAGCAATTTTTGGCCAGTGGTAAGACGTAGCCCAGTGGAGCACGCTGGAAACGGCTCGGAGCTACGGGGTACCTCCACACTGGCTCAGTGACCACTGGGCTGGGCTGCACAGGGGGCACGCTGTGTTTGCATCATCTTTGCCAGCGTTAAACTCTACAACTCTATAAAACTGTAATAACAAAGGTGAATCATCTGACTAATACGATTAACAAAGAAGGAAAGTGTGTTCTCAAGATGCATAATGTGATTATATTTCTGCATCAAACAAAGGATCATCACATTGGGAATATTCCTCCCCTCCCCCAAGGAAACTAACAGACACACGGCCAGCACAATGACTAGCATTAACAAAGAGCATAACAAAGTTTGAGATCATTAATTAAATATAATCACACAGCACTGAAGAAAGTCATCCAATTACAAAAGAAAAATTATAAGAAAATTGTTTCTCTTTCATTTATTTTTTCTTTTTCCTTCTCCATTGTCTAATTTAAAAATGGAAAAAACTCTACTATTTGTCAAAAAACCTCATTAATGATCCATTCAAAATAAGTAACAGATTGTGCTAACTACGTATCTTGATTCTCATTTCTACTCAGATAAGCAAAATGTACTATGTCCTTTATGGTTATTTTCAGGTGATGCTCACATACGTAGATCAAAGAAGGCCTTGAAACTTATACAATATTAAAATCACTGTTGATGCTATCATGATGCAATGCAACAAAAGGTAGACCACAGCAGAGAATGACTTCCACAGAAAAGATCACATCAGTTTAAATGAATACTTAAATATGAAACTGAGGAGTCACAACCGTAAATCCAAGACACCTGCTGCATTTGTTGGTGCCCTGTATAATGATAAGGGGAAACAGGGCAATATTTATACACGGTGGGAAACGTCTGGGCCCCTCTGAAAACAGGAAACCATCAGGAGCACTGGGTTGCAGAACAGAAAACCGTTATAGAATCATGGAATAGTTTGGGTTGGAAAGGACCTGAGGGTGTCCAGATAGGACAAGGTTGGGGATGGAGAGCACAATAACCCGCCCATAATCCAGGAGGAAGCAGTTAAGGACATGCTAAACCACCTAGACACCCACAAGTCTATGGGACCTGATGGGATCCACCCGAGAGTACTGAGGGAGCTGGCGGAGGAGCTTGCCA